AGCTTTCCTCCAGGGAGCTTAAGGCGGTCTACATACGTATTCCCCACCTTCCCCACAAAAAAACAACAGCCCTGTGAGCTAGGTTAGGCTAAGAGGCAGTGACTGGCCTTCGATGTCACCCAGTGAGCTTTGTGGCTGAGTGGTGGATTTGAATCCTGGTCTCCCAGGTCCTAGTCCAGCATTTCAACCGCTACATCACACTGCAAAGTTTCTTGTTGCAGAGAGAATGAAGTACTTGCATTTACGTCAGGGTGAATGGGTGGGTGGGTGACAGAGAGAGGAAAAGAGAGAAGTCAGGGTTAATTCAAGGTGGCCCCATGCAAGTCTTCCATATTCACTTCCGACATGGCTGGACGGCAGGTAATGGACTCCCGTTGGAGCCTTGAGGCTTCTGCTCCACGTGCAGAGCAGAGACCGTGGGGAGCAGCCCTTCTTGTTGGTGGAAGGAAAAGTTATGGCTCCCCACCCCTCCAAGGAACGTCTCTGGCCCATTCCCAGGGATCGCTTTACCTTTTGATAACAGCGTTTCAGGCCAATAAATCTTGAACTCAAAACAGCCCATAAATCTGAAGTTCAGGCGTGGTTTTGACGTCTACCATCATCCAAGGCAAATGTCCGTGGGGCAGCAGGATCTTCCCTTCTGCCTGGCTGCAGTTCATAAACAAATGTTTATATACTGATTGCATTTCCAGCCCACCTTTTTCTCCAAAGAGCTCAAGGAGGTGTGCGTTATTCTCTCAGAATGCGTGTGCATTCTGCCAATAAATGTGCCTGCTCAACTCTGCCCCAAATCATATTTAACAAAGTGCATTTCCTGCAGAACTGATTTATCTACCTCCACAAAAGTTCAAAATTCGAATTCATACCCCACCAAATGAAAACTCTTTTTTAAAAAGCAGAGGAACCCCTCAGCTGTTCTTGCGTGGTGGGGCAGACATTTGCCAACCTGGTGCCCTCCAGCTGTTTGGGAATGCAGCTCCTATGAACCCCTGAAGGGCTCCAGGTTGGGAAAAGTCCATGGAGGGGCTAAGAAAGACCCTCTAGACTGAGAGTTTGGAGAGCTTTTGCTACAGCAGACAATATGGGGTTAGCTGGACCCATGGGCAGCTGGCCCCCATCAAGTAAATAAATAAAAAACTAACTGAACAATTGCGTCACAGATACGTCTGTTCTGCCCCCCCCCCACAACATAAAGCCTGGCTACACCCATAGCTGGACCTGTGGAGTCTCACTCAGCAGAAGATAGAAACTTATATTTGTATTTTAAACTTAGACCTTCCCCTTGTTTCTAAATCTCACCACAGCTTGCCTGGGGCTCACTGGGAGAGAGGACTTGGAAAATACCCAACTCAGGACGTTAGCTCCGCTGTCTTTCAAATGGAATTTCAGGGTTGTTGTGAGAGGTGAACATGGGAAGCAGCCTTATACCCAGTCAGTCCATCTAGCTTAGCATTGCCTACACTGACTGGCAGCAGCTCTCTGGAATTTCAGACAGGATCTCTCCCAGTCGTACCTGGAAATGCCAGCAGGGACTGAACCTGGGACCTTCTGCATGCCAAGCAGGTGCTCTCCTGCTGAGCTGTGGCCCTTGGCCAGGGTGGTCAGGGCTCTTTCCATGGGACCAAATTAATGATTAACGGTGATAAAGAAAGGAAGAAGCTGCTTTGGAAATTAAAGCCGCTGAGGGGAATGTGGAACAAACACTTAAAGCTCTGAACCTGCTTTCTTGGGTGTAAGTTCTGTTGTGGGCTTGTTTCCAGGTAAATCTACCTGGGATCTGCCTCCAGGAGATAACTGAAGAGTCAGGAAGGAGGGGAGAGATGCCATTTGAGTATAATTGGTTCACTCCAGACAAGTTTAGCAGCATTCAATGGGCCTTCACTGGAGTAAAGACCCCTCTGACTTGGAAGGGGTGTGTCATCTGTTCACCACAAAACCCTCTCAGCGACAAAGGGAATAAATGGGGTTTTTTTAATTGATGGGAAGAATTGAAATATACATTGTGAGGGAAAACTTTATAGCTAGCTGTTTCCCCAGTGTCAATGACACACACACACACACATACACATGCTGCCCGCCCAAGCTGCTATTCAGGGAAATGTTTGGGTACCTCAACTGGGCCTGTGTTTTTCTCTCCACAGCTCCACAGGAGTGTCAGGTGCCATTTAGATCAAGGAAATGGTGCAGTGGAAAGGGTTAAACAGCCCACTCCAAGCTGCCACTCCTCAGGCCCCATCTGGCTTGAAATGACAACAATTTTAAAAGTCAGGACCTCTGATCACAGATTCCCCACATCCATGGTGGGAAGCATTATAATATTGTTGCCCGTCACCCCAGTTTCTGAGCAGTGAGAGATTCCAGGGGTTCCAGGTTTTGTGTTTCCGTTGGAAATGAGGCACAGAAGAGACTGGGGTGTCTTTAGAATATATGGTTTATTTACAAATATACAGTCTGAGCCTAGATGGAGGGGTTCACAAGACCCGAAAAGGGTCTTGTTTCTCCCATAGCTGCAACCTTGGCTTCATACAGAAATCAAACATTGCACTCAAAAGTTTCTTTGACTCCATCTTGCTGCTTTCCTTTTAGGTCACATCGCTGCAACTTAACTCTAAACTCAGGCTTTGGCCTGACAATTTCCAAGCTGCTGTCTAGCCTGGCTTATATTTTAACAGGGGTTAGAAGGATCTCTGACATTCAGCTTACTTCCTCCCCTCGCAAACTCATAACCATCTCTTTGGCCAATTTCTGGCATGAAATGCTACAGAATGAGGAATTTGACATAACTAATCTGGCCATAGATGATGACCCCGGGGGGGGGTGGGTCTCAAGGTATCTTTCTGACCTCCATTTCTAATGATTAGTTTTAAGCAGGCAGGTGCAGGGGCTCAATCCTGCCTAACTATCATAGAAGTCCTTTCTTTTAACCACAGATGCGTAGTAGCAAGAAACACCCTCTGCATATGGTCAAGGGAGCTCTGTTATGGCTTCACAGGTGCCAAGGCTGAGCATCGGCCACAGATCGGGGGGGGGGGGTGTCAGTTCTGGAGACCCTCAGCTCAAAGAAGCCCCCTCTAGTTCTATGATAACAAAACTTTTCTGTCAGGTCAGAAAGTGATCACGAACCGGTTTTCCTCGGCATCCAGGAATCTTTGCCCCGGGGTCCTTCAGTAATTGACGTGTTTCCTCCAACTTGCAGAGGGTCACATGAGCATTTCTACCCCGGGGATCAACTCCACTTCAGTGACTGCGTTTGGCTCCTTGGCTCTCGGCTCCAAGATAGTGGAGAGGGTAGAGTCTTCCTTCTCTTCACTGTGAGAGATCTTGCTGGGGTTCCGAGACGGGCTACGGGGCAAAGCCACCAACACGCCGTCCTCCCAAGTCTTGCGGGAGGAGAAGTACTGGTAGGAAGAAGCCGCAGAAGAGAGCCTCTGGAAGATCTCCTTTGTGGCTTCCCGGAACTCCTGGCGCATCAAGCAGTATAGGACAGGATTCAGGCAACTGCTGCTGTGAGCCAAGCAGGTAGCCAGGGGGAAGATGTAATTGTGGAGGAAGTAAAAGGCGTCCCCCCTGGACACCACTTCGAATTGGACCAGAGCCCCCCAAAGAGTGATCGCCTGTTTGGGGAGCCAGCAGACAAAGAAACATCCGACCACCAACTGGACGGTGGTGGCAACCTGGTTCTGTCGGTTCGGATTGCTGCCTTGGACTTGGTGGGCCTTGAGGAGCTTCAGGAGGAGGAGGTAAGAGGTCAAGATGACCACCAGTGGGACCACGAAGGTGAACACTACCTTCTGGAGGTGGTAGATGCCCAAGAGACGAGTGGTGGGGAACTTGTAGAAGCAGAGTTTCATGCCGCCGTATTCCACCACTTTCGTGTAGATTGGTACAGGCACAGTGGCCACCAGAGCCAAGGCCCAGAGAGCCACAGTGATGCATTGAGCCACACGGGGGGTCATCCTCGAGCCGTCCTTGAGGGCCGAAGCCACGGACCAGTAGCGTGTGACACTCATGGCGGTCAGCAAGAACACGTTGGCATGGACGCTGAGGGTGGTGAGGGAGGGGACAGCCTTGCACATGGCCTGCCCAAAGGGCCACTTGTAGTCCAAGGCAATCTCCGTGGCCCAGAAGGGAAGTGTCAAAGAGAGCTGGAAGTCAGCCACTGCTAAGCCAAAGACGAAAATGTTGATGACCGGGGTGGGCCTGCCCTTGTAGGTCCAGATCAAGTACATCACAAGCCCATTCCCCAGAAGTCCTACTGAGCAGACCACCGAATAGATGAAAGCGATGAACATTTGCAAGCCAAACGAGATGTCTGGCGATGAGGTCAAGGCACTGCCATCCCCCACGAGGTCAAAACCTCCCGTCAACGACCAGTTCCCAATTCTGGGATCCGCGAGGCTGCTGTTCCGCTCAGGCTCCCGGAGTCCGCTTGCCTGCATCTTTGAGCTTGGCTGAAATCCTGCGTTGCCGCGGCGGCTGGGACCCTTGCGCCGTTCAGGCGTGGCACGTGCTGCTTCTCTCACGGCTGGAGAAAACGTCATCCGTCAAAACCTGCCGAAAACTCTGACTGATTGCCATGGCTTGTTTGCATAGCCAGAGCAGAAAGGAGCCGGCCGTCGAATCCTCCTAGGCTGCGAAGGTTGGTTTGCGCAGCGGGGAAGCTTGCAAAGTAGCCTTGAAGAACCCAAAGTCCATTCTTCCAGAACCTCCCGGACTCAGCAGACGAAGAGAGCAGGCAGTTGAGGTCCCAGGTCCTTCAGTCTTCCCCTTTGAGAAACAGGGGACTTCATTGGCACCAATGCCTGTCTCTCCCCGAGTCCAGGCTGGTGTCTGTCCCTTCCTTCCTTGGGGAAATGAGAAAAAAGGATTAATTGGCAGAGCTGAGAATGTTCTAACCACGCCTTGTGTGATGGTGGACAGCCCCTCATTTAGATGGGGTGGGGCAGGGTTTCTCTTGGAGGAGGAGGAGGAGGGCGGGGAGTAGAAAGTCCTGGCCTCTCTTCACGTGGGGTTGTTTGAACTCTTTGCTCGGTTATTTATCTTCTCTGGCACACCAAGCTTTCTTTGTGATGCAAACCAGCAGCAGACGCAAAGGGAACTTTGAGTCAGGCCTGACGTGGCTGGCAGGACCCTGGACCAGAAGCAAGGCATTCTGGGAAACCTCTGCTGCTCTTATCGAAGGGGCTTTGCAGAGAGACCGCTTCCCAGGGAGAAAGGAGAAGGGCGCATTATCCCTCAGCCGTGCTTCGATGCTGGGGGGGCTTGCAAGAAAATCGCCTGAGAGAAGAATGGGCCTAGCTGAGTCTCTGCAGAGTACCTCTGGGCTACCACAGAGTAGCCAGTTGCCTCAGTTTCCCTCACACGTGAGATATTCACAAGCTGACTTAGACTTGCCACTTCTGGGGGTGGGCGTTAATCAAATTTAAGGCCAGGGTTGTTTCTGGTGGTTAGCCTTCTCAACACTGGCTCCGGCCTGGTGGAATGCTCTGCCTCATGAGACCAGGGCCCTGCGGGATCTGATTTCTTTCTGCAGGGCCTGTAAGACGGAGTTTTAAATTGTATTTTAATCAACTTGTTTTTATTATTGGTTGTTAGCCCCCCTGAGCCCAGTCTTGGCTGGGGAGGGCGGGGTATAAATAAAAATTATTATTATTATTATTATTAAGAGCATATTCTAATGGAACAAGGAGACTTGTCATTGGGTCATTAGCTGTGAGCAGGTGGAATTGTGTCAGGCGAAGCTTTCGTTGCCTTTCATACAGGGAAGAGATGAGAGCTGCACTGAAGACACTGTCAAATGTGGCGTAGTGGTTAAAGTATTGGACTAGGAGCTAGGAAAGACCAGGGTTCAAATCCTCACTTGGCTATCAAGAAGCTCACTGGGTGCCTTTGAGCTCAGTCCCTGCCTCTCAGCCTAATCTACCTCACAGGGTTGTTGTGGGGATTAAATGAGGAGGGAGAGAATAATGTACACCATCTTGGAACCTATAAACGCTTCCTCCAGCCACCCAAGTTGGGTGTTAGCAGCGAACTGATTCACCATTTTCTTTGCGACATTTAGCTCTGCTGAAAGAATTGCCTCTGGCTGTGATGCTCCAGACAGATAATCTGCCACAGACGCCTCCAGTGCATTCCAGCCAGGAGGAGATGGTGCTTTTGTGCTTGTCTCGGAGGGCGGGCTGTGCATATGCCACAACTGAAACTGCAGCATGTGGTTAGACTTCCAGAGAAGCCCCCATAGCTTAAAAAAAAGAAGTAAAGAAAACCAAGTTCCTAGTCCCTATGGTGATGAGCAAGGCATGCTTGAAAAAGGCATTGGAGAAGCGTTTTCATAACATTCAAGCATCCAAGGGGTGCCTGAATGAAGTTGTCTGTCATTAAGTGGGGAGAAAGAGTGCCCTGCTTTCAGGGAAGACTTTAGCATATGCGCCACCGGGGTGCAAAGATCCGTCCTGCGCCCCCAAATTTAGTTTAGCCCCCAATTAATTTTTATTATGCTTATGTCAGACACCACACTTGCACCTTATCTCTTGTTTACAAAAGAAGGGAGGAAAAATTACCAATGTTTTTTATTTGTTCATTTAGCGCCGCCATTATGAATGACAAGCGCCGCCGCTGGCACAGCGCGGGGCATCTTTGGTAAATGAGCATACAAAATCGAAAGTCCTTTAGGGAAACAGTAGGTATACATTTCGGCAATACCTAGGTATATATGTATTTTGTTTTTCATAACAGGTAGATAGTTAAGAGCTTAGGCGGCTTCAGCGGCGGGCACCTGGCATCCCCCAGAATTCGGCGCCCGGGTGCCCTGCACCCCTTGCACCCCCAGGTATAGACGGCCCTGCTTGCATTGCTCATTGCCTCACCCCACAAGGCAAAATAACACATATATTTAAGATGCTGGCTTTTGAGATCTCAGCACAGAATTTGCCAAAGCTTTAGACCAGGGGTAGTCAACCTTTTTATACCTACCGCCCACTAATGCATCTTTCTTGATGGTGAAATTTCCTTACCGTCCACTAGTGCTTGATGGAAGGAGGATTCAGCTTGTGCTGTAGAACCCCCTACCGCCCACTTAGAATCCTGAAACGCCCCCTAGTGGGCGGTAGGGACCAAGCTGACAACCCCTGCTTTATACAATTACAACCTGCAACAGAATGTTGCAGTATATCCTCCTCCTAGCCGGAGTGCTAGGTCTCAGCCAGCCAATCAGAGGACTCCGCTCTTCCCTCTCCCTTGCATTCCCCCTGCCTGTGGCTACTGAGTGTGCTCCATCCTCATTGGATTGTTCTGGGATAAGGAGTTGTCCCCTTAGTATTGTGTTAATAACGTCTGGAAACTTCAGGGTTCCCCCAGGCCCTCGTGGAGGCAATGGACCTGAATACTTACCCCATTATTTACTGGTTTGTCCAATGGGTGTGTGTGTCATCACTGGTCCCCCTTATGCTTATTGGCTATTCCAAGGCTAGCCAGTTTGGTGTCCACCAGATGTTTTGGATTGCTATGCCCAGACCATTCAGCCAAGACGGAGGCACTTTTAGTGGGTCATTCCCTAGACCGGACGTATAGGGTATGGCCTGCTCTTGGTGGGTGTTGCACTCTCTCTGAGGAGCAGGCATGTAGCTTGGGGGCTTTAAGTTGGACTGCTGTGATGCTTTGTATATGTGGCTGCCTTTGAAGGCGGCTCAGAAAATCCAGCAGCATTCAGTTGCCAGATTGTTGACTGGAGCAGGGCAGTCTGAACATATAAACATCAGCCCTGGAACAACTGCACAGGCTAACAATTTGTTTCTGGGCTCAGTTTGAAGTGCTGGTTTTGACCTATAAAGCCTTGTGTGGCTCAAGATCTCAAGGACCACCTCTCCGCATGCGAACCAACCTGGATCCTATGATCATCATCTCCATGTGCCCCCTCCTTGAGAGAAACCATAGGGTGGCAACACGAGGACAGGTCTTATCAGTGGTGACCTCCCCCCAACTTGTGGAATGCTCTCTCCTGGAAGACACACTTGGCATTGCCTTTATCTGTTTTTAGGAACCTGGCAGAGACTTATATATTCAAGCAGATTTTTGGCCCTTAATTTCATGGCCTCTTTTAGTAGGGTGGGATCAGGAAGTCCTGATCCATTTATCTACATAGCTGTGCTTTTATATTTTTATTATATGTTCTTTTGCTGTAAGTCATTTTGGGTCACTCTGAGAGAGAAGCCACTAACTAATGTAACAAACACAGAAATCAGTGGCCAGACCAGTTGGATTTCTGCCTGCTATATTTCTATTGCAGGAAGCTATCCTGCACAGTAATAGAAATATAGCAGGCAGAAATCCAACAGGAAAGGAATTCTTTCAGGAAAAGAAACTTGCAGATTCTACCTTCCAGGATTTGGCTTCAAAAATCGTTATTCCTGCTAGGATTTGTCCCTGTGGGAGGGGGCGTTATTGCTTTGCTCTGCTCCTGTTTTATTATGTATGTTGAACTTGTATTTTTACGCTGTGAACTGCCCTACGGATCTACGGATGAACGGTGGTGTACACATCTTAATAATAATATGAAGGAATTGTACCAGTCAAAGGAAATAGTGTCTCTGATCATGGGCAGATGGTGAAGGAGAAACATGTTTGGGATTTGCAGGCGGAGTTTTCATCTAAAGGCCTGGTTCCCTGACAGGCCTGGCACCTGTCTTTTAAGAAACCGAGTGAAAAATTGAGACAGTGATAGGAAGTGTGGAAGTGGGAAAATAGGTCTGTAAATACAGGTAGAGAACATCTACACACAGTGAAACTGAGCAGGATTTTGGACTAGGGTGGGGAAGGCCCAAATTCAAATCCTTCAGTTTAGCCGCAAGGCTCGCTAGGCGACCTTAGGCACTATTCTCTCAGCCTTGCTTGCAGGGTTGTTGTGCGGACGGAAGAGGAGCTGGGTGGGAAACTCATTGACGCAGCTGAGCTCCTTGGAGGAAGGGTGGCTTCTATCATTTGCGAGTTGCCCACAGGTAAACAAGCTATCATTGAAGGGCTCCGGCTTTTGCCTCTTTGGTGACGGAACGTGAGAAGAAGAAAAAATCACCCATCATTTCGAGGGAGAGGGCGGGGCGGGAACCTCCGTCCTTTTAAAGTCAGGAGACAAGCGAGATTAGCAAAGAGCGTCTCTCTCTCAGGCAAGTCCAGACCTGGGACTGTGAAACAGGTGTGCTGGGGGTGGGCACCAAGGTTTCGTGTGGTGAGGCCTGCGGGCCGACAGGGCTTTGCTTGCAAACGCTCCCTGGACGCCGCCAGACACCTCTTTGGGTTCCAACAGCCAGCCAGGAGCTTCTCTGGGGCTCCAGCTCCATGGATGTCTCTGCTGGTTCCTCCTTTTCCCATCCAGGCCGGGCGCCTGGGCTGAGCAGACGGACCCCTCTCCTCCCGATCACAGGCCTCTTCTCAGACATGGTTTGAATGTGGTTCATCTCACTCGTGTTTGGAGACAGCAGAAAGCAGGAGCAGCTGCTGCAGCAATGAAGAAGATGTTCTCCTGTTCCAGCAATCAAGTGGCGGTGAGTTCCGAGCGCTGCTCAGTTATTAATCTCCGTTTCCGATAGCTTGCAAGTGGCTCTCATTTTGGAAATAAAAGTTTGTGTGGAATAGGCAGGTGGCAAAACAAAGAGTACTCCTGAGCATGGGCAGAGTGCGTTTCCTTTAAGACTATCATAGAACAAACACCCACCCCACATGCACATGTGGTTCAGCAACAAGACGTAAGGAAAATGGCCATGTGTCCAACTTGCCCTCCATTTCAATGAATCCTCCATTTGAAGGTCTGTCCAGGCCAAGTCTGGCTTGAAGAACCTTAGACAAGAAGAGCAGGTAGTTGTGGTGCTTGCTAGCAGCACCTGGAGAACAGCAGCCTGAGTAGGCAAGCATACAGATCACTGAGTACAGCCTTTCCCACTGTTTAGTTATTAGTACATTTATAACCCATCTCTCCTTCAAGGAGTTCAAGGTGGTGTACATAGTTCTTTTCCTCCCCATGTAATCCCCACAACAACCCTGTGAGGTCGGTTAGGCTGAGAGTGTGTGACTGGCCCAAGGTCACCCAGTGAGCTTCATAGCCAAATAGGAATTTGAACCTTGGTCTCCCAGATTATAGTCCAACACCCTATCCACTAAACCACACTGGTTCTATGGGATATTGCATTTCTTTTAATTATCTCTATATTTATATTTATATAGTCATTATCTATATCTGCATCGCTATGCATACAAATTAACCCATTTGAATGTTATGCCAAATGGCGGCTTCTCTTGACCTCTTTTTGCAGCAGGGGCATAAGCTGCCGCCACCCTAGCTGTAAGTTTCGCCAACCCAGAGGCTAGTTTCTGTGGGGTAGCGTTTGTCGATTGACAATGCAAGCCTTTGGATGAACCAGTGGGAGACTGTGGGGTTAATTGACTGACTTAATTAAACTCAATATTTTGAATTGGGTTTTGAGTAAAAGCACAACTAACTGCTACTATTTTGAATTTTATTGTGTTACTATCTTCCTTAGTGGGTCGTGCAAATAATGCTTTTGATAGGGTAGGGTGGTAGGCATTGGAGATGAGTTTATGGAACAAAGGGGCACCCCTGCCCCCCCAAAAAAGGTTTGATCTAGAAGGTCCAGATTGGGTAAGCCACCAGCCTCTGCCCTCTTTTCAAGTCTAGAATAATGACAGAATCATGCAGAGATGGGAAGAGAAAGGATCAAGGTGCAAGTCTGTCTGAGCCTGGGATTGTGCAGGCAGCATGCAAGATTCAGCCTGGCAGGACCCGGCTGCCAATTGTAGCACAGACTCTCTGGAAGGGTCTGCTCTCCTCAGCTCCCCTCTCCCAATTAACCTTCATCTCCAAGGTTCAGTGATGGAAGGGAGTGCAGAGGAAGGAAAAGAGCTGGGCTGGGCCCTGCCATTTAGGGTCTAGGATGCTCCTGACCTGACAGCTCTAGACACGAGTTGCGTGTGTAAACCAGTTTCTCCCGCTGAGGCACCAGTGTCCTTCAGGACAAACCAGTGGCAACCTCTCTCAAAAACTACTTGGCCAGTCTTCTTTTATTGTTTCCAGGGATATCAGCAGAGGACAGGGGCGTCTGGTTTGTGGAGCCAATAACTCCTGGCTGCATAAACAGGTCATGCATTTAATAATATAACAACGTGCAGCGTGTGGGTGGCTGTTTCCAATAAAGCCAGTGTCACACTTTTCTTGTTCATTTAAAAAGAGGCTCCATTCAGGTTGCCAACGTTTTAATCAATTCCTGTTCCTTAAAGGGCCACTTGGCCTGATGATGATATTACTATAATAATAGGTAATTGTGTCTGTCTCCATGCGACAAATAAAAAAAAAAACTTTACTGGGTGGTTTATCCTGATTAAGTTGTGCTTGTACCTTTAAGAGCAAGCATGTCTGCTTTTGTAGTTCTTCCTGGTCAGTTGGCAACCTTACTTCACAGAGGCCTGAGGTATCTTTCAGGGCAAACTATTGCTCTTGTCTGTGCAGAACATTGGGGATATATGACGGCAAATCGTTTCTCCAGATTCCTAGGAGCAGGCTGGAGATAGGTGATACATGAAAGGCACTCTGCTCATGATCAGAGACACTGTTCTTCATTCCATAGGATCTTGATCTGAGTCCTTGTGCCAGTGTGGTGTTGTGGTTAGAGCATCAGACTAGGACCTGAGAGACCAGGGTTCAAATCCTCACTTGGCCATGGAGCTCGCTCGGTGACTTTGAGCCAGTCACACTTTCTCTCAGACTAACCCACCTCGCAGGGTTGTTGTTGGGGAATAAATGAGAAGGGGCAGAACCAGATTAGTCACCTTGAGCTCCTTCGAGGGAGAAAAGGTAGCTTATAAATGCAATCAATCAATCATCAATCAATCAATCAATAACAAGTCCCAGCTCAGATGAGGCCACGATGGGAAGGCTGACACACACACTCAGCTCAAAGCAAAGCATGACCAACTGGAAGTCTCAGAATGAATTCCTTTCTTGACATGAGGCTTTGCTCAGTCTTGCTCCATCCTGCCTTTGGGGTGTATCCACTCCTGGGGACGACTTGCGTTTAGCATGAAATTGGCCCTGAGCAAAGTGACTTCGAGGCCTGACAAACAGGCCTGGTCATGGCAGCTTATCTACTGCTCTGACGTCAGCTCTCTGGGCCGATCTTGTTCTTTGCATGGGGAGACAAAATAAAATTGGGTGATCATCAGCCCTGCGAAGGCACATTCCTTCACTTTTTGACATCTGCACATCTTACCAAAATTTTATTATTGAAACCAAGGGACCTGTTCAATGACTTAGACAGCAGAGACTGAGGGTTCAAGAAGACCACCAAGTCTTCTCTCAGAAGATCTTTATCCTGGATCCCAAATGGGCACCAACTGCTTGTGTTTTTTGGTCACGACGGAGAGCTCTCTACACATGCTCAGGAATCCTTTGGTTGCCCAAATTGCATTTCCTGCTTATGGTTCCTAGAATTTACGATATCCATTGTGCGTTGTTTTTTTTAAGAATAGGAAGAGCAGTTATGAAATGTCGGTACATGCTAACATTTATCTAGAGGAAAATATCTTATAATTTCACCCTGAATAGCGGTGGCCTGGTTGAAAGAGGACCTGGCTCCTGTGCCTTTAAGAGAGCTGGGGAGAAGGCAGAATTTAAGCCAGTGCAGATTCTCTGTCTGCCCCACAGCTGCCTGAAATGACAAGCAACCCCAATCTAAAACCTTCACTTCTCCAGTAGGTACATCACCCTAGCCTTTCTCTGTATGTGCCTTATGCTCGCCAATGCATTTTCTTTGTTCTTGCAAGGCTCCCATACCTTAAACAGCAGGTGGGTATTTCTGTGGGGATGCAGAACAGCTGGGATAAGTTCTCAGGCACCTTACAGCTTACCAAGAGCAGTTGTGGTGCAATGGTTAGAGTACTGGGAGACTTGGGTTCAAACCTCCACTCAGCCACAAAACTTTACTAGGTGACTTTGGGCTAGCTGCTTCCTCTCAGCTTCACAGGGTTGTTGTGAAGACAAGAGCAGGGGGAGCTCTGCATGCTATCCTGATTCCCCTGGAGCAGTGGTGGCCAAACATGGCCCTCCAGATGTTTTGGAACTACAACTCCCATCATCCCTAGCTAACAGAACCAGTGGTCAGGGATGATGGGAATTGTAGTTCCAAAACATCTGGAGGGCCAAGTTTGGCCACCACTGCCCTGGAGGAAATGGCAGGTTGAAAGCAAATGCATAGGAGCTATAGTGGAGAAAATGACTTAGAAATTGAGGGAAATCTTTTAACAAGCACTAGAGCCCTTTAAGCACTTTTTATATGATTTGGCATTCTTTAATTATATATGCAACAGAGCCATCATTTTCAAGGCAAGCCTCACCACTAGCCTGACAAATCTGGAAGTAGACTTGATCAAAATCAGATAGCCCTGGTATTCTTTACTTTGCTATTTTATTCATTCTAATTCATCATTCTAGGTGCCTGTTGTATGCTTTTGTTTTTCCTCTTTTAATTTTCACCTGTTCTTATAACTCTTCTCCCTGTTTTATATTCATTATAAAATGGAAGTAAAACTTTACAAAAAAAGAGAGAGAAAGCAAATCTATTAATAGTCATAATTGTCCAACGAAAGCAGACTTCCCCCTTGCCTTTCTGGGAATGGAGAGAACTGAAAGGTCCCAGCTGTATCTTGTAGGAGGACTGTGTTTTCCCAGTGTAATTAGAACTTAAGCAACAGCGGGGTGTGTGGCCCTTGTGAAATGTTGCCCTCCGCAAACTCTGGGCATGTTGCTCCGTCAGCAACGGCATTCAGAACCGGATTGTCTCCAAGCACATTCTTTGCCCATCTTCACGGAGCTGCTGAAACAGATCTGCTTAAAATAAAAATCCCGAGACTGAAGGGACAAGTGAACCTTTTAACCAAAAGCACGACACCCCACAACCCCAAAAGAAAGCCTTATTTATTTTCTTTGGCTTGACTTGTGCCCGGGCAGCTGCAGGGCTTTGCCTTTTATATATATATGGATTCTCCTTCATTGGAGAACGGTGTTCTGTCTGGGATTCTTTAGCTGTGATTCCTGCGTTGCAGGGGGTTAGACTAGATGGCCCTTGGGTGTCCCAGCCAACTTTGCAATTCAGTGATCTTTGCAAGAATGGGAAGGGGCTCTATCCTGAATCTCCCTCTCTTCTTACCTTTAGGGATGTGTGTGTGTGTGTGTGTGCGCGCGCGCGTGCGTGCGTGTGTGTGTGTCATTGAACCACTTTTAAGTTTTGCCGGACTGGAGCCCTGTTTTCCTCGGAAAGAAATGAGCTAGAGGCTGCCTGTGAATGCCTAGGTCTCTAGATCCATCTCAACAAAGGCTATCTTTGCACTGCTGCCTGAATCCCTGTTGCCTCCTGTACAGCTTCGTGCCACTTTTTTTTTTAAGACCTGCGCTTTCCCAAGGCAACTTATTCCAGGGCAATTAACTACAGTATATATTTTCTGGGAAATTTGCCAACCCGCTTGGAGGCAGTGTGTGATGTTGCAAAAAGAATGGCTGTCATGGGAGAAAGGAGAATGGCCGTCGGCCACCTGTCCTGTGTGGGATGGAGCCAGGCGATGAAATAAAAATAACATTTTCCACATTCCACATTCCAGCTTTGAGGCTCTTTCCTCTTTTATTACTGGCTTGAATGGCAGTTGCTAAGCAACGTGGAGCCCATGGCTCTCCCTAGATCTTCCTCTAGATCAGAAGGGATCTCCTGTCTTCGCTGATTACTAGAAATTTTTGGAGGGTATTCTTCCTGACAATAATAATAATCATCATCATCTATCACTGCATAGTATACCTTATGCCTTTAATGTAGCCATTTCCATTCATTTTACTTAAACATAGAATTGTAGAGTTGGAAGGGATCCCCAAAGGTCACCAAACTAGATCCCTGCAATGCAGGAATCACAGCTATAATCCCAGATCACCCAACCTCTCTTAAAGAAAACCTCCAGTGAAGGAGAAACTACCAACTTCCAAGGGCTCTTACCGTCAGAAAGTTCTTCCTCAATGTTTTTGTATTTCCCCAGATAACATTCATTAACTTAAAGGGCAAGTTGTCATCAGAGGAAACGTTTTGATTAAGACATTTGCTTCAAGTTTAACTGGCTTAAGAATAATTCCCGATTTTCAGGGAATTGTAATGCTGTTGAGATGGGAACATGGTCGAGAAATCACAGGTCCTATCTCTCCACTGAACAACAGTTTCAAGGATTGTTTAGGAGAAGGTTGATAAGCAGGTGTTATACAACTGGTAGTCAGGATTAAGAGGTCAGATTCCCTATCATTCTTAGAGCAGCCATCTTGAAATCAGGACAACAGTGATTTTAATGTGTCTACTCTTGAGTATGACTAATGTTGGCTTATAGAGTCATACCTTGGTGCTCGAACAGAATGCGTTCCGGGAGTCCATTCGACTCCCGGAACTGTTTGAAAACCAAGGCGCGGCTTCCAATTGGCTGGAGAAATGTCCAGCAGCCAATTGGAAGCTGCGGAAGCCCCATCGGGTGTTCAGCTTCCAAAAATTGTTCAGAAACCAGAACACTCACTTCCAGGTTTTGATTGTTTGGGAGCTGATTTGTTTGGGAGCCAAGGTGTTTGAGACCTGTTTAGACCGTGGCAGCCAGTTCCCAACTAGGACTGGGCTTGGTACTTGCCTTATAAAAGCTTTCTACTCTGACGCTCCTGCCCCCTAGACTGAATTTTGAGAAAATGGTCAAAACTTTAATTTTTTTAACCTTTATAAATCAAGCTGCTCCCACACTACAGAATGCATTCTCTTTTTACAGTGGTACCTTGGGTTACAGACACTTCGGGTTACAAACTCCCCTAACCAGGAAGTGGTTGCTCCAGGTTAAGAACTTTGCCCCAGGATAAGAATGGAAATCGCGTGCCAGCAGCACAGCGGCAGCAGGAGGCCCCCTTAGCGAACAGGTTAAGAACCGTTTCAGGTTAAGAACGGACCACTGGAACGAATTAAGTTCTTAACCCGAGGTACCACTGTATTTATATTTTAATAATGCGGTGCTATGGCTTTTCATTTGTAAAGGGTTATAAACTGATGAGCTGTGGTTCCTGCATCGCGGTGGATTGGACTAGATGATCCTTGGGGTCCCTACAGTTCTGTGATTTGATTCCAGTCCTCCAGAATGGCCAACATCTGTGCTTGCTTTCACCCTTGCTCATTTCAGGGGAGCAGGTCTCTCTTCTGGCACAGAACAGCCCCATGGTAAGCCTCCGACACTAAATGGCTGCTTTCCTTATCTCATGACAACCAGGTAGAGAGCTGGAACAAGCATGACCAGAAGCTTTTTGACGCTGTTGAGAAAGGCGATGTGGGGCGCGTATCTGTCCTCGCTTCCAAGAAGACAGCCAAAGCCACCAAACTGAATGCCCTGGGGCAATCTGCGTACGTAAGTTTTCCCTGCCCCATAATCCCTCTTGTTCGCAGGCTCTGCAAAGCCAAGGCGGTCTCTTGGGTAGGGTTGCTAGGTGAGGAACATCCCAGACCCTGAGATTTCAGGGCCCAAACCTGGAGACCCAGGGGCAGCCCCTGGTGATGTCACAGGGCATACAGCCCTGGTGATTCTTCCCCTGCACTCCCACCTACCACTGAGCCCTGGAGACGGAGGTTAATTGGGAGGGGGGGGGAGGAGAGGTGGAAGGAGGTGACCTGGAGGGGAAATTAAGTGGCTGGCCTCCTGCAACATTTACGTCCTGAAGTTGCATTGTACTTATATATTTAGCACATGCAAATTTGTTTCTGTGGGCTAATAAGCACATGCCTCTGGATCCAAGGAAACAGCTGCTTTTTTATTGATTTATTAATGAACAAATGTTCAAACGTAACAAAAATACAACAAGAAAAAGAACCAAAGATTTAAACCGTAAAACGTCACAGCCCAGAAGGGCAAAAGTACCACAGCTCCAAAGCTGAGGAGGTCAAGGAAACAAGTAAATGAGCCTAAAGATATTGAAAAATGGAGATTTTTTCTTTTTAAATTTCTTTTTTTCAGCTACAGTATTTGCTTTTTGTATTTTGTATCTTTTTTATTCTTTTGTTTTTCTATGTGTGTTTTTTAGTTTGTTAATCTTTGTTATAATTTTCTCTATTTTGTAAACCTATGTTTTCTTTTTGTAAAATTACAATAAATATCTTTTTTTAAAAAAAAAAGTACCACAGCTCCAAAAGGATAATAAAGTATTAACTCATAACAAATATCCCCTTTAGAAAAATTAAAGATCCATACAAAATAAAAGTATTCTCCACCTGTGAGTTCCTCACTTCTTGAGAATAAATGTTCTACATAGCCTTAAACGAGCCAGACATTTTCATATGCCGATGGCACTGAACGGCAATCTGATTGCATGAAAAAACAAAACCACCCCGTATATCAAAAAATGGTCATTTGAGCTCTGCTCAAAGATCAGCAGAGTTGGAAGGGACCATGAGGGTGATCTTGTCCACCCCCTGCCATATAGGAATCTTTTGCCCAGAGTGGGGCTCAAACCCACAACCCTGAAATCAAGAGTCTCATGCTCTTCCGCCTGAGCTACCCACTGGGGTACTTTACGAGACATCCGGAAAATATTTCTTGTCAAGATCCCGCTTTTCCCTCTTCCTTGCAGATTCCACCTGGCGGCCTCCAAGGGGCTCACGGAATGCCTCACCATCCTGCTCTCTCATGGGGCTGATGTTAATGATAAGAATGACGATGGTAGGTGTCATAGGGGGAGCGATTCTGTAACAGGGGAGTGAGCGTGCTTACTGCCCTCCCACAAGATAAAAACCCACGCAATCTCATATTCTTGAGAACATCGTTGGATAAGAAGTGGGATATAGTTGTTCCAAAACGATGCTGTTTTTCAATCAGTTTTGATGTTACTTTACAGGGCTCTCAATGGCTAACAGCCAGAATGGGAATGCTCTGGGCTCTGCAGGCGGAAGCAGCAAAGCTTCTGAATCCTAGTTGCAGGGAACAAGGAAGGGAGAGGGCTCTTGTGCACCCTGGAGAGGGTGGTTGGCCACTGTGAGAACAGGATCCTGGACATCATCATCATCATAATTTATTATTTATACCCCACCCATCTGGCTGGGTTTCCCCAGCCACTCTGGGCGGCTTCCAACAAAACACTAAAATACAATAACCTATTAAACATTAAAAGCTTCCCTAAACAGGGCTGCCTTCAGATGTCTTCTAAAAGTTTGGGTCACTGGCCTTAAAAACAGACTGTCTGTCCAGCCTCTCAGCCAAGGAAGGGGAGTTTGGCTTGGTCAGGAGGACTCCCTGGTCCTGAATGGGGTAACTGTGCCCCTGAAGGACCAGGTGCGCAGCCTGGGAGTCATTTTGGACTCACAGCTGTCCATGGAGGCACAGGTCAATTCTGTGTCCAGAGCAGCTGTCTACCAGCTCCATCTGGTACGCAGGCTGAGACCCTACCTGCCCGCGGACTGTCTCGCCAGAGTGGTGCATGCTCTAGTTATCTCCCGCTTGGACTATGCAATGTGCTCTACGTGGGGCTACCTTTGAAGGGGACCCGGAAACTACAACTAATCCAGAATGCGGCAGCCAGACTGGTGACTGGGAGCGGCCGCCGAGACCATATAACAACGGTCCTGAAAGACCTACATTGGCTTCCAGTACATTTCCGAGCACAATTCAAAGTGTTGGTGCTGACCTTAATATCCCTAAACGGCCTCAGTCCTGTATACCTGAAGGAGCGTCTCCACCCCCATCATTCTGCCCTGACGCTGAGGTCCGATGCCGAGGGCCTTCTGGCGGTTCCCTCACTGCTAGAAGCTAAGCTACAGGGAACCAGGCAGAGGGCCTTCTCAGTAGTGGCTCCTGCCCTGTTGAACGCCCTCCCATCATATGTCAAAGAGATAAACAACTACCTGACATTTAGAAGACATCAGGGAAGTTTTTAATGTGTGACATTTTAATGTATTTTTAATCTTTGTTGGAAGCCGCCCAGAGTGGCTGGGGAAACCCAGCCACATGGGCGGGGTCCAAATAATAAATTACTATTACTATTGGTGGGTCTGCAAGTGCCCAGCAAAGTGGAGAGTGGCTGTTGCCAAGCACCCTCCTTTGCCGCCTTTGATTCAATCCACAAGTAAGCGCCAAGTGCTTTTGAAGCATCAAGGGCAGAGTTACCACTTTGTTTCCGAATCTGCTCCAGCAGAGTCACAACAACGGCACACCCAGCCTCCCCTGGAAGAAAAGGACTTCTCTTCCCTTTCTGCCACCATTTGTCATATTTTGACTTCCCTTTCCTTGTCTCTTTCTAGGCAGCACAGCCCTGCATTTGTCCACCATCGCTTGCCAGCCTCAGTGCGTGAAGGTCCTTCTTCAGGTAAATAGGACATCCGCGTTTACCAGGTTTTCAGCATTTGCCAAAAGCTGTACCATGAAGGTGCCAGGCACAGCTCCGTGAGGAGAAAGTTCCACAACTGAGGGGCCACCACAGAGAAGGCCTCTCCTGAGCCAACACCCCATAGCCTCAAACTTCTGAGGAGGGTGGATAAATATATTTGTTTTTATTTGTTATTAAATATTAAATTCCTGAGCCTAAAAAGGCCTGTAATCAAACAAGCCTTGCAGTAAAGGGAAGGAAAATAGATGGAAGGAAGAGGCAAACTTTTTATATCCGCCACTGAGGAATTGTGGTCTCTGCCCCCTGATTGTCATCTGTCTGTGTGCCCCAAGCTGTCACCGCTGTTTTAAATAAAGCTCTTTGTTTTATAATACTCCTGCCTGATCTTTAACGATAATCAACACCACTTGAAAACAGCCGCCCTCGCAGTGATGGAATAATTTCTGGGCCTAATCGTTTCCTGTGATTCTGCAAGGCACACCTGGGAGGCAGTTTCAACACGGAGGCAAAGGGGAAAATGAAGAGCTGGGTGGGGTGTGAAATCTTGCGTTGAGAATCATTACAGCAAAAGGGAGAAAAGGGTGTGTTGATGTGAAGATCAGGAAAGCAGAGGGATTCCTGCTTGGCGGATTATCATCCTTCATGGAGCCTCCGGGTCATAGAGGCCCAGGTACCCGTCTCTGTGCCAGCGATGCCTCTCTAAACAGCACCTTGGGGAGAGCAACAGAGCCGCTGATTAAGCGTTTTTCTTGAAGCCAGACATAATTCCTGCTGTTCCTAGATATGGGGGGGGGTGGGGGGAGAAGGTGGAAACCTTTGGCACTAGGATGTGTCCATAAATCAAAATCTACATCAATGCATGCAGAGCATGTATGATGTGCTTGCTGTTTCCTGCAATGAGGTGGATGTTGCGTCCTACAACCTGGACCATCAGATTATTCTATGAAAATACATTTTGCATCTCAGATGCTGAGGCTGGCAGAGGAGGCCCTTTTCGTGGTTCCTCTGCCCTTCGAGAGCCTCAGGGTGGTGGTGTTGGCCAGGGAGAGGGCCTTCTCTGTGATGGCCCCTGAGCTGTGGAACTCCCTCCCCATGAGGATTTAAAAGCACTAGACGACCCTTTGGATCCCTTCCAACTCTACAATTCTATGATTTTACTGAATTGGTTTGTGACACTGCTGTTTGAGGGTGTGTGTGTGTGTGTGTGTGTGTTGCTACTCTGAGCCTTCAGGGTGTGGCAAGTTATCAATGCCAATGAAATGCATTTTTTAAAAAAACTTCTTTCTTGCAGCATGGAGCCAATGAAGACTGTGTAGATGGGGAGAACCGAACGCCACTACATTGGGCGGGTGAGTCCTTAAATAATTCAAATTAGGTGGAGGTCACCTAGGGGAGTAGCATTTGAATCAATAATCAAATCCTTAAGCCAGACCCCAAAGGAAACCTGGGATCCTTCTCAGCGTGGGAGACTTCCTGTGCGTGGGAGATCTTCCTCCCTCCTGCCTGGAGCATCAAATAACAGCTCAGGCCTTTTGCAAGACTGTTCAGCCCAGGCTTCCTCAACCTCGGCCCTCCAGATGTTTTTGGCCTACAACTCCCATGATCCCTAGCTAGCAGGACCAGTGGTCAGGGATGATGGGAATTGTAGTCTCAAAGCATCTGGAGGGCCAAGGTTGAGGAAGCCTGGTTCAGCTCTTTGGGACGCAGGTATCCTTTAAACTTTTGCCATGTAGTGAAGCACTTGCTTCAGTCTAAATCAAAACACATCAGTGGACTTCCCCACACTTTCGCCCACTCTTTCCAGGCAGTCTGTGCTTTAAAGATATGTTTCTGAGCACCGTTGGGTTTTTTTGTGTGCTCTGGAGCTTTCCGCATGAAAACCCGCTCTTTGAAGCTCCGTTGGAGCAAGCAGGAATCCACAGAAAATCTGAATAGCCATTTGCTCCAATTCAGCTTTAAAGAGCAGGACTAGCTCTGGGAGAAAACAAAGCAAAAACCACAGACACGGAGCTTTAATGCGCAGACCTCTGCCTGGAAAGAGCAGGGCAAAAGGTAAGTGTGGAAAAGCCCAATGTCTGAGTACACTTCCCTAAACAAAAATATTTTCAGCGGCCACTGAAAAGAGTACAGTGAAGGTGCCTGCCCGATGTCAACAGGCAGGGAGTTCCAACATGTGGGTGCTGCCACGCTAAGAGACCAATTTCTTACAAATGTGGAATGGGTACTATGTGGCACTTGTAGCAGCGGCAGTTCCACAGATCGAAGCGATTGAGTGGGATAAGCTGATCCTGCAAGTAAACTGGCCCCAAGCTGTTAAGCGTCTTATATGCTAATAGTAACATCTTGAACTTGGCCCAGTAATAAATCTGCAGCCAATGCAGCTCTCTGAGCAGGAGTGCTGCATGCAGACAGCATCTCGCAACCGCGCTGCAGCATTCTGCACTGACCGCTGCTTCCAGGTCAAGCACAAGGGAAGCCCCACATAAAGCGCATTGCCGCCATCCAGATCTAAAGAAATAGGTGTTTCTCAGATTTTAAAAACAAGTATGATGCATTGTTTATATTATAGAGAGTGCTAGCTGGCCAGGGAGAAAACTGCTATCGAAATATGTATGTTATTTGCATGTATATCTGGGATGCGGGTGGCGCTGTGGGTAAAAGCCTCAGCGCCTAGGGCTTGCCAATCGAAAGGTCGGCGGTTCGAATCCCCGCGGCAGGGTGCGCTCCCGCTGCTTGGTCCCAGCGCCTGCCAACCTAGCAGTTCGAAAGCACCTCCGAGTGCAAGTAGATAAATAGGGACCGCTTACTGGCGGGAAGGTAAACGGCGTTACCGTGTGCGGCTCTGGTTCGCCAGAGCAGCGATGCCACGCTGGCCACGTGACCCGGAAGTGTCTCCGGACAGCGCTGGCCCCTGGCCTCTTGAGTGAGATGAGCGCACAACCCTAGAGTCTGTCAAGACTGGCCCGTACGGGCAGGGGCACCTTTACCTTTACCTTGCATGTATATATTATTATGCGTATGGTATAAAAAGCCCTGACTTTTAACCCTTGCTTTTCTCCACTTTTTAAAATCGCCCCCGCTAACAGCCATCTCCGGGTGTGCTTCCAGCGTGCTGCTCCTGTGTGATCAAGAGGCCTTCCTGGACGTCATGGATAATGTACGTCTGAACAGGCTCTGCTGGGTGTATCAAAATAAAATCTTGGGGCGATGGATTCACGGTAGTATCGGACTAGGTGCAGCTGACTATGAGTTATAGTTAGGAGTGTGATGAAGTGGGGGGGGGAGACACTCAAGAGAAGCCTCTCCTGCAATAGCCCTGCTGTGCTACGAAAGTTGCTGCTGGTCCTTCTACCCACTGAGGGCTAGAATCTTGACATCTGTTATGGAGCTTATTGGGCCAGTGTGAATTACAAGTGCTGTTGATAGTTTCTTGGGGGGGGGGTGTCTTCCAGAACCAGTTGCCCCTCTCTTGAACAGCTGGAAGTTATATAGTTATAGCTATTACTATTCTTAATTTTAAATGCCTTCTTATCACAAAGCAAGGTTCCAAGCATCTTCTTTCTTTTTCTCCAGAATGGACGGACGCCTTTGATGATCGCTGCCCAGGGGAACCAGCCTGCTATCTGCTCCCAGTTGCTGCAGAGAGGGGCCAAGGTTGACCTCATTGATAAAGATGGAAAGTGAGTCTCTGGAGGCTTTGACACTGGGCATCTCCTGGGGATTAGCTGTGCTTCTTATGGGACATCAGCTGGATGTCATGAACAGCACAACAGCAAATCTCCTGTTCAACCTTCATTCCTCACATCCACAGGAGTTCAGAAAGTCCCACCTTTTTTTAAACTCAGTGAAACAGCTGTATCATCCCCCCAGGTGCAGCTAGCCTGTTGCATAGCTATTCTGGCTGGGTTATGGCCTACATAGATTGCTCTAGCCTTCCCTGTGGTCCATCCCTTGTCTCTAGGCGCAAACTCTATCACTTTAACCCTTATATCTCCAAACAGCATTGCCTTTATATATCTCCCCCTCCCCCACTCCCTCAAATTGCAGCAGATGGGGGGGGGAATCAAGATCATGAGCTCAGTGGGTGGGGTATTAACCCTTTCCCCCTCCACACACTCACTGGTTTGATTCAGCTCCTGCTAATGATCTCCTGAACAACTCAGCTGAAATATCTCCTGCTGTTGCCTTTGTTCCTGTGAATACAGCCTGTGGCTATTTATTTTTATTTCTGGCTTGCCTGTTGCACCTTCTTTGCTCCAAGGAGCTGAAGGTGGCATGCAGCATCATCCCACCACCCCCGGTTTATCCTAACAACAACCTTGTGAGGTAGGTTAGCCTGAGGAGCAGCAAGTGCAAGGTCACACCCAGTGAGCTTCATGGCCGAGTGGGGATTTGAACCCTGGTCTCTCCCAGGCCCTACTTCTTCACTCTAACCACTACACCACACTACCTATCTTTCTCTCCTCTGCTCCTGCACAGGACGGCTCTCATCCTTGCTTGTGAAAGTGGAAGCACCGAGTCAGCTGAGCTGCTTCTGCAGAATGAGGCCAATGTGACGCTTCTTGACAAGACAGGCCACGACTCCCTCTACTACGCCACGCAGGCCAAGAATCGCAAACTGAGGCGGCTGGTCCGGACTGCCCTGAAGAAGTGGAAGAAAAAAGGTAAGGGAGCGGTTGGCTGGCCAGTGTCCTGGCTTCTCAGACTCTCAGCTGGGTTACTGCCAAAGACTGGGTTCCAAAATCACTATAATGCCCAGACATAGATGGTGAAGGTTCTATTTATTTAGATGGTTCTCCCCATCCTCATTTAATCCACACAACAACCCTGCAAGGTAGGTTAGACTGAGGGACAATGACTGACCCCAAATGTCGCCTTGAACCCTGGTCTGTCCCGGGCCTTACCCCTTATTTAATTCCCACAACAACCCTGTCAGGTAGGTCAGGCTGAGAGGCAGCAACTGGCCTGAGGTCACCCAGTGAGCTTCGTGGCCGAGTGGGAATTTGAACTCAGGTCTCCCAAATCCTAGTCTCTAACCACCACACCATGCTGGTGGCGAAGTTCAGAGCAGAGTTCTAAGGCATATGGGCTAAGTACAAACTAAGACATTTTCCCAATGCCTGACATGCACCCCACCACGAGTACCATTTTTGAACAGCGGAGCAGGTACAGTCATTTGCCTAGGGTGGTCATCCCTAGGCATGTGATTGGGCAAGAAAGCAGACACTCCTGCAAGGAGACTAGATCTCCTTGCACGGGTACAACCGTCGCCATGTTCTATTGCCACCTATCTATCTGATGTGGCCTCGGACACAAGAGCTTTCCTGGTGGGACATGGTGTCAGAATCACATCAGGAGGGTCTTCTAACACATTCAGGGCATCCAAAGACACTGAGGCGGGACCTTCTCTGGACAACCCAATCACCCCTCCCCAGCGTCCGGATCTGCACCTCCCAAGCTCCTGGGCCTCTCCCCAGGGTGTTCCAAGGCTGGTCCAAAACATGTTGCTTCTTAACCAGTGGACAATATGGCGTCTCTTGTTATGTACTGAAGCCAGTCAGACAAGTGGTTGGATCTTAATTCAACACAGGTAACAGGACAGCTTCTTCCACTATTCTTGGGGGTAGCAAGGGTTCCTTAGGGTACAGCTAGGGAGATTCAGGTCAGTTCAGTCCGGCAAGGGTCTCAGTTTGACTTGCGAGGTCATTCGCCACAAACCACACCCACTTGTCCCACACCTGATGTCAAATGTGATGTCAGGTATGTGGCAGGTATGGGTGTGGCCACAAAGGAACAGCCAGGAGCTTAGAGTGAGCCCTGGAATGTTCATTTGCAAGTGGGATCAGGTGCGCTAATCCTGTTTTCTATGGGTGAGGAAGCACCAATATCTATTTTGTTTGCAAAATGACGAGTAGAGCATAAGTGGAGGAAAACAGGCACTCACTGTAGTCAGCAAAACCACATTTTTTTTTCTTTTTCATCTTGTATACAATTTTATTAAGTTTTCTGTTTTACAATTTAAAATACTCATTATACATCCTTAAGATATCAATGACTTCCCTTCTTCTCTGTTTTACAAAAACTATACCATTCAGTATTCCATTATTGCATCCATCAAAACTTGTTTACACTATTGAATTTATCTTAACGCTGCCAGTGTTTTCAGCTGTACACAATTACAGCAAAACCACATTTCTAGCACCACGCTCTCCACAAAAGGCCCTTCACCCCAAATGGCTTTGTGTGATCACAGAAGGGGTGGGGCCCCTAAGGCTCAAAGCAGGGGGCGCATCTAGGCCTCTCTATCTGACCTATAGGACTCTGCATCCCTCAGCGGCCTTGCTTCAGATTGCATTTCTGTCTCACAGGAATTTATTGTTAAATTCTGGTAAAACGTATCTTACTTAACTGGATGGAGGATAGAGGGTGGGGGTGTACAAACCAACCTACTGAAAAAAGGTAAAAGACACATTCATTATTCTCCCCACTTCTGGCATGTGGCCCTCAGAAGGCTGCTCAGAAGAGAATGTGGCCCTCAGGGTCAAAGAAGTTCCCCAACCCTGACCTTGACCACTCATTCACAATGATCAAGGTGGTCCAACTCACACAACCAGAAGCATTAGTTATAATGTGGTTAACTGTCCAAGAGCAATAACCTTTTTTACTCATTCCACTTTCTTGTTGCTTACCAGTATCTGAGTCCTATCTTGTGACCTGGATAGAAGGAATTCAGGGCAGAGGTAGGCAAAAAAAGTGCTTTGGGGATATGCGCTTCCGGAATATCATTCCGCTAAAATCCTTTTTTTCTCAACTTCCACAGAACTAGGATGCGATTATTCATCAGAGACTGGTTCACAGGTAAGAAGGGGGTGCTTATTTGTTTAATAAACTTTTTCCTGGAAACTGCTGGAGCTGCCCTTGAAGATGTCTTGGAAACTTCAAATGGCCCAAAACACTTCAGTCGCATTATTGGCCAGAGCGCTATTTAGATCTCCTATAACCCCTGTTTTAAAAATCTGGTTGCCAGTTTGAATCCAAGCCCTGTTCAAGGTGGTTACGTTAGTGTTTAAAGACCTAAATGACACAGGTCCAAAATACCTGAAAAAGAGCCTTTTCTCCTGCAGAACCTATCAGGTCTTAAGACTGACAGAGGGAGCTGTCTTGGTTGTTCTACCACCCTCAAAAGCTTGGGGTAGTGGCAGCCTGGGAGAGGGCCTCCTCTGTGATGGCCCCTAAGTTGTAGAACTCCCCCTGCCCCGAGGTGTGCCTGGCACTTTCATTATACAGCTTTCATCGAATACTTAATACTTTACCCTGGCCTTTGACACTTGAAACGTATATTTTTTGAACCCACATTTTTTCCTGCAGTTGTTTTAAACTGTTTTTAATATTGTGTTTAATTGCTGGAACCCACCCTAGGAGTTTAGAGTGAAAGGCCAGTTGATATTATTATTATTATTATTATTACTATTATTATTATTATTACTACTACTATTACTATTATTATTATTATTATTATTATTAATGGCCATCTGTCATGGATGCTTTAGTTGAGATTCTTGCATTACATGGCATTGAACTAGATGTCCCTCAGGGTTCCTTCCAACTCTACAATTGTATGATTCTATGAATGCCTCTTGGTTGTGTGGATGGAGAATACAAACTAGTCAACTGTACAAAGGTAAAATTTACCTTAATTTATCTGCTCAGTTGTGTCTTTGGCCTCACCGACCACTGGCTGGTGATTTCAGTACCACAGACAGCTTCTTCCTGGGGGCACATCTCTGAGGAAGGAGCTATCCATGGTACTGAAACCAACACCCCCTTCCTTGCAGCCATGTGTACCTGTTGCAGATGGGTCAAAACCTTCTGCCTCTCAGTTAGCTCATGCATTGGTTTGGGTTGTGCCTCCAGGTTCCATCTGAGAGCGGGAGAGAGACTGATGTGAGTAGCCTGAACCTCCAGAGCGAAGTCGGGGACCAAAGCGATGATGAAGAAGAGGAGGGTCCTGAGTTGAAGGAGTGGAGGAGCAGGTACCGAGACGAGAAGATGAAAGTAATTCAGCTGGAACTGCAGTTGGACCAGAAAAGGAAAGAATGCGACACCCTTTTGGAAGGGTGCAAAGTGACAAAGGAGAGGGTCTGGGACCAGGTGCAGGAGATCAACCAGCTCCTTCCTGAGGGGGGCGGAGGGAGCCAGGGCTGTGAGGAGCTGAGCCAACGCTACAGCCGCGATGCCACGGAAGAGGATTATTACCTTAACCTCTTGGCCGCCCAAGTACAAGAGCTGAAGAAGAGGAGGAAGCAGCAGCAGGAGGAGGAGAAGCTTCAGAAAGAGCAAGCCAAAATGGCGGCCACGCAAGAAGCAGGAAAAGAGGAGCCAAAGGCCCCTGTGGCCCAGGAAGAGAAAGTCCTGTGGCCTGGCGAGGAGGAGGCCGAAGAAGGGAAACGCCGCGACGAGGAGCTAAAGCGCCTCCGGGACGAAGTTGCGGCAGCCCTCGAAGAAAAAGAGAGTGCCGCGAGGAGGGTGCAGGAGATGGAGGGCCACATGGAGAACATGAGGGCTGTGATCAGCGTCTACGAGGCAAAGAAGAAGGCCCAGAGCGGGACGCTGAAGGAGATGGAGGCCCGTACGCTAGAGCTGGAGGGTGAGAACCAGCAGTTGCGTGGGCTGCTGGCGAAGCACCTGGGAGAGTGTGAGAAGGTGGGGAAGCAAGAGATTGGGCTCCCCCCTGGGGAGAAGCTGTCCCTGTTCCTCACAGAGATGGAGGAAGAATATGCCAGAGTGCAGAGGGAGAACGCTGAGGTGGCTTTCGAGAATGAGGCCCTGAAGTGGGAGGCAGAGGAGGCCCTCAGGAGCAAGCTGCAGTACCAAGCCGTGCCATCGGGGGTGGTCAAGAGGAGCGTGTCCGCCTGGAAGAAGATTGTGGTGGGTCTGGAAGGAGCCCTGGCTAAGTTGGAGCAGGTGAACTTTGCTCTCCTGGAGAAAGCCAGGCCTCTCCGGGAAGCCATCTTGGCCTCTGGGTCGAGAGTTGTGGTCAACAGGAATGGGTATCACAGAGAAGAAGAGAATGGTATCATGGAGGATGAGGAGAAGCTGCCCGCGGATGATGCCAAAGCCCCTGAGGAACTGGGAAAAGCCGAGAAAGGCAAGAGCCAGCTCCCTGAGGGCTCTTCCGGGCAGGTCAAGCTCAGGCCGAAGCCTGAGGTGGCAGAAAACAAGGCCCGCCCCTGCCGGAAGAGCTCCGACCTGGAGAAGGAGGTGTGGGACCTCAAGCAGAACAACGGCAGCCTCGTGAAGGAGCTGGCAGAGCTGAGCAGGGAGAGGGAGAAGCTCCAGGAGCAGCTGAGGGGTTTGTGCTCTCCAAAAGATGGACCCGCCGAGGTAGAGGCACCAGGGAGCTTGGTGGAAGAGCTGAAGCAGACGGTGGATTCTCTGAACCAGCAGCTCTCGGCCGAGAGCGAGGAATCGAGGAAGCTGCGCCTGAGACTGGAGGCCCAGAGGAAGGAGATGGTATCTGTGAGGGACACCTTCCTGAGGCAAATGTCCAAAGAGGCTGGCCACTTGAGGCCAGAGAATTTCGACAGCTGCATCTTGAAGGAGCTGCACTGGAAGCTGGACAACGTGGTGAAGAAGCAGAACGAGGCCTTGCAGCTGGTGTCCGAGATGGAGGAGGAGAGCCATGCCCTCGAGGTGGACCGCAGCCTCCTTGCCAACCACAACGGCCTTGACTCGTCCGTGGCGGAGGACAAGGCCTGGCGGGAAGGCTCCTCCGAGGCCTCAGATGCCATCGGAGACAACTTGAAGGTCAGGCAGCGGATGAGCGAGCTGGAGGAAGGCCTGCAAGAGCTGAAAGGGGTGTTAGAAGCCGTCCAGGTCTCCCTGGGAGGAAAATGCAAGGAGGCCGCCCGGCTGAAGGAGGTGCTTGATCGCCTCGTCACCAAGATGGCCGAACTGCGCCAGGAGGAAGAGGAGGCCCTCAGGAAGCATGAGAAAGTCCGTGGCATGCTGTCCGTCAGAGCGCAAGCCCTGGGAGAGGAGCTGGCTGCCCTTCGGGAGAAATACGAGGAAGAGAGCGGGGAGTGCTCCTGCCTCAAGGAAGACCTTGCTTCCGAAAGGCAGAAGAACGAGGAGCTCATCGCTGAGGCTGTTGAGCATGAGGAGGAGGTGGAGGAGCTGAGAGGGAAGTCCCAGATGATGGAAAGCGCGATGGAGAAGATGAATAGGAAGATGGAAGAGCTGGCCAGGACCTGCCAGGACAGAGAAGGGAAGGTAGGAGGGGAAATTTTGAGGGCTGGGGCGGCTCACCCCTTTCGGCCTTACGCCTTTATTATTTGTGTCCAACCTGGCTAATGTAGAATCAGTTAAAGCAAAGCAGTCCCTGCCCACGACATGGAAGGGGAAGGGACAGGGAGGGAAGAGGGGGGAAATCCAATCTCAGCCACCAGTTCTTGTTTATTTATGGAGATATGTAAATAACGTTATATCACAAAAAATATATCAAAGCCCAGATTCTGAAACAGCTGTTCCTATAATGACTGGCTAGCCCAGTTCAAGGGTATGAGGTGCCCGATAATAGCTGAGTTTTTATGCTTTTAAGAATGAATGTAATACATGAGAATTGGTCATATTTTTAGCAGAACTAGTAAATTTGTCAAGATCAAAGGAGCAAGTGGGGAATTAGAAAAGATCTGTGCGATAACTTCACTGGAACCCCTGGCATCACTGGGCCTGTCTGAATTGCAAGGGCCATCTTGGGGGAACAGGGAACAAATATTATTGTTCATCTAGTCCAACCCCCTTACAATGTTATTACCCCATCCTATAGATGGGAAGACTAAGACTGAGGAGTCTGCTCAGGGATTCCCTGCAATAGATTTGACTTGGATGCCACCTGTTTTATCATATCCCCTCAGATCAGGAAGTTGCTGAAGGAAACGGAGAAGCTTTCAAGCGAAGTTCTTAATCTGCGCAGCGAACGTGCCCGACTCCAGCTGCAGAATGAAGTGAGCCTTGGGGGTCATTGTCCCCAAATTATTTCAGTTTATAGAGACTGCTTACTATCTCTATCATCTATCTATCATCTATCTATCATCTATCTATCATCTATCTATCTATCATCTATCTATCATCTATCTATCTATCTATCTATCTATCTATCATCTATCATCTCTCTCTCTCTCTCTCTCTCATCTATCTATAATGCACTGGAGTAGTGTTGGACTAGGACCTGGGAGACCAGGGTTTGAATCCCCACTTAGGCATGAACTCACTGGGTGTTCTTGAGCTGGACATTACCTCTCAGCCTAACCTACCTCACATGATTGCTGAGCAGAGATGGAGGCACACTGAGAGGGGGGAAATGGTAGTTTTAAATAATGGCAATGTTTGAGCAAAGCAAACCGGAGGTTACACTGAGAGGAATAAAGTGGTGGTTTAAAACAAGGGTTAAGTATAGCGAAAAGGGAGTTGAGCAAGGTTTTGCTGTGTTCTGCCCACCTCCACTATTTCTCCTTGTTAAGACTTCCTTAAAATAAAATTAAAAAACCTAGCCGCAGCCCCTCCATGTTCTTCCCTTCCCAATCTGTTCAGACCTCTCCCATTGTTTTAAACCGCCACTTTTCTTCCTCCTCCTTTCTTGCTCCCATCCCGCGTCCCCTGCTGTTATTGATTTATTACTTTTATAGTTCACCTTTCCCCCCAAGCAGCTCTAGGTGGCATACATGGTTCTCCCCTCATTTAATCCCCACGACAACCCTGTCAGGTAGGTTAGGCTGTTGTGCAACCTGCACCTGAAGTCCCCCACCGTTTTTCTGCCAGGAGAATGTCTGTGGACTTCATTTCACTGGCTTATTCACTTGTATTTCAGGTTGTCCAGAAGAACCACCAAGAGATTGTGGCCATCTACAGAACGCATCTGCTCAACGCAGCCCAAGTAAGCATTTCAGAGGTGCTTGTCCCTAAGCCTTGAGAGGAGGAGATATTCCTTCCCAGAGTCTGGGATCCAGAGGTGGACCCCTGGAAACTTAATAACTTTGGGGGGACAGGGGATGGTGTTCCAGTGGGAATAGTAAACCTCTGCTTCCCATGCCAACCCTCCAGCTGTTTTGGAGTCCAACTTCCACCCGTCCCAGCCATGCTGGGGGCACTAGGTTGGAGAAGGCTGCTGAATACCATACAGAGTCAGAAGAACAAGGGCTGATCTATGCACACAGCAGACCTTTCTCTACTGAACCCCCTCTCTCAGCATATCTGGACTGCATGTTTCAAAAACTCCCAGATGGGGATTATTTTTTATTATTGAAAAAGGCATGTAGAACTCTGGCATGTCAGGAAAAGAAAACTAGGCTAGAAATGCCCCTCCGTGATGTCTAGCTTTCTCTTTGTGTGGGGATGTGCTTGTTTTTGTAATATGGGGAGGAGCATCCAGTCACATGATCTCTTGCCAGCAGTAGAGATAGAAGAGAAGTCCACAATGAAGGGCTAAGGTACCTAATTGACAGTTCTGGAACAATACATGAGTAGCCAGTGTGGTGTAGTGGTTAAGAGCGGTAGTCACGTAATCTGGGTAACCGGGTTCGCGTCTCCGCTCCTCCACATGCAGCTGCTGGGTGACCTTGGGCCAGTCACATTTCTTTGAAGTCTCTCAGCCCCACTCACCTCACAGAGTGTTTGTTGTGGGGGAGGAAGGGAAAGGAGATTGTTAGCCGCTTTGAGACTCCTGAAGGGGAGTGAAAGGCGGGGTATCAAATCCAAACTCTTCTTCTTCTTCTATTGTTCTGCTATCCTTCAAAATTCATATTTCTCTAGATTTTTTGGTGCAGTTTCCCAGTCAATAGATATGTTGCAAACATTGCATGTATGGGGGGGGGTGTATAAGGCCACATGTTTTAGCGGAAATAACATACCAATAAATCTATAGATTTGTACATTAGTAGAACTTCCAAATGTCACTTGTATTAAGATGAATAAGGTTTTAAGATTGGATTATTAAGAATATAAGGCTCTAGGAACGTGCATGAATAAGTTAATACAATGGAACCAAGAGGGGGAGTGGAGGGAAGTCAATTGAGTTAAGATTTATGATATGAATTGTTATAATTGATTCATTTTGTTTTGTTTTTATACTCTTTTTATATTTTATTTTTGAATTTTGCTTTTTGAAAATAAACTGTTATAAAAAAAGATAATAACATACCAAAAGGCACTTTGCCATGTCTCCATTAGGCAAAACGGCATATAGTGTGGTATAGTGGTTAGAGTGGCAGACTATTATGACTTGGGAGACCAGGGTTCAAATTCCCATTGGACAGAGAGGCTGACTTGGTAACCTTGAGCTCAGTCACTGCGCCTCAGTTTAACCTACCTCACAGGGTTGTTGTGAGGATAAAATAGGGGGGGGGCAAGTGTGCCACCTGGAGCTCCCCGGGGGGGGGGCGCGGAATGGACTAAAAATTCAATAAAATAAATGCAGGAAAGTGACTATTGGAAGAAATCTCAGCTACGATGCTGGTGAATTTTCCCAGGGTCTGATGTGTGGTGTTTCTCCAATTCAGGGTTTCATGGATGAGGAAGTCCATGCGATGCTGCTGCGGATCCTGCGGACAAACGACGGTTGACTGGCAAATTTCCAGGCCTCCCACTTTCCCTTCATGTGAGATTGTTGTTATGTATTTTTTTGGTTGTGAACTGCTCTGTGACCTTTGGATTCAATACAAATTTTAAAAAATAATAACAAAAGTAATAATAGTACAGTGGTACCTCGGGTTAAGAACTTAATTCGTTCCAGAGGTCTGTTCTTAACCTGAAACTGTTCTTATCTAGAGGCGTGCTTTCGCTAATGGGGCCTCTTGCTCATAGCTGTCAACGTTTCCCTTTTTTTAAGGGAAATTCCCTTATTCCGAATAGGATTCCTCGCAAGAAAAGGGAAAAGTTGACAGCTATGCTCTTGCTGCCACTGCGCCGCTGGCACACGATTTCCTTTCTCATCCTGGGGCAAAGTTCTCAACTCGAGGTAACTCTTCCAGGTTAGCGGAGTTTGTAACCTGCAGCGTTTGTAACCTGAGGCGTTTGTAACTCAAGGTTCCATTGTAATAGTAATATTATGATGGCTTGTAGCAGCCACCAACCATCAAAGATCCCATACCTGGTCAAAAAGTGAGAGGGGGGAAAGCTATTTTGCACACCCAAAGAACATGCTCAGATCATTCAGAATACTTTCTGAGCCCATCTAAAGTTCATTTCCTTCCCATGCAGTCAAGCAGATTTCTTGTTGCATTGGGTTAGGAATCGATTCCAAAATGAAGATTGGGACCTCCAAGCAAGTGCTGCCCCCAAGAGGCGAGACAGCTCTGCGGCAAAGCTCATGAATCCTATGCCGATTGTGCTGATCCACAAGCCCAAAGTGGCTTGGTGCAGGGATACCAAAGGACGTCAGAAGCGCCCTTTATTAAAGGAAGGTGTCATCTTAACAACACAACCTGCAAAGCCTCGCTGCTGTTACAGACATGAGTTGGACACCGCAGCAGTGAGAGGTTGTCATGATTTCTCTGCCAAGCACTAATATGTTAAGCATTTCTTACACACCAAGCGGGTGGCACTGTGGGTTAAACCACTGAGCTTCTTGGGCTTGCCGATCAGAAATTCAGCGGTTTGAATCCCCGTGATGGGGTGAGCTCTTGTTGCTCGGTCCCTGCTCCTGCCAACCTAGCAGTTCAAAAGCACAAAGTGCAAGTAGATAAATAGGTACCACTCCGGCGGGAAAGGTAAACGGTGTTTCCATGCGCTGCTCTGGTTCATCAGAAGCGGTTTAGTCATGCTGGCCACAAGACCCGGAAGCTGTACTCCGGCTTCCTCGGCCAGTAAAGCAAGATGAGTGCCACAACCCCAGAGTTGTCCGCGACTGGACCTAATGATCAGGTGTCCCTTTACCTTTACACACCAAGCAAACTACATAGGCCGGCATCAGTAGCCCAATTAATGCACCCCTGGCTCAGAGGCCCCTTCCCAACTCTCTTATCCATCTCTCAGATAAGGGAGTAGCTGGCAGGCGGCTCATAAGAAGCCTCTCCTCTCCTAACTAACTGAACCCAAATGAGGGCTTCAAAGCAGATTAACACATGTGAGCTCATTCTTGCAGCAACGAACAATTAGCCCTGGGGTTATCGTGACTACCAAGATGGCGTTTTCAGGCGTTCTGTACATAGCTGTGACGTTCTCTCTTTTCTTGTGAGGAATCCTATTCAAAATAAGGGAATTTCCCTTAAAAAAAGGGAAATGTTGACAGCTATGGTTCTGTAACATTTTCAGTGTTTGGTTCTACACGGTGTTCGAATCATTTTCTCATTACAGGTTTTCTATTCCATGGCAGAGGCAAATACCAGGAGGGCAAGAAGAATCCTGGCCTATGGTTCCTGCACCTTTCTAGCATCAAGACACCCGTCCACACACACACACACACACACACACACCACTTCCCAGAGGTCAGCTTTGATTTCCGGAGTTGTCCGGAGTGGCAAATCTATGCGGAAGGGAGCAAAGATTCCATACCGTGATGCCCACCCGTGTGCTGTACTGGGATTTATTTTTGTAAAATAGTATTATATCTTCCTCTTTCTCCCCCCACCACCCCCCCCTGACACTTTTCTTTTTAAATTATTATTGTAGAATGGGGAATATGGGCTGGGCTGGGGAACAGAAAGAAGAGTGAGCAATGGGGGTAAAAGAGAAACTATAAGGGAAGTGAATCAATATCCCCATCTTGAAACTGGCTTATTCCAGGGCGATGGGCCTTAGCCCCAAGGCATTTTGATGTCAGAGATAGCGAGATGCCCCCTGCAGCTACACAGTTGACAGTGGGGTTTTCCCTCCCTGGGGTCAAGACCCAACATACATGGCCAGATTAAGACCTTTAGAGGCCGCAAGTAATGAACAGAGCATGGTGCCCTCTCCCACATATTATTTAAAATAAAAACCATGCTATAAACCATAAAAAGAAGATGTTATTTTTTTATTTTAAAAAATCGATCAATATTAGTAGGACATCCCCTGACTCTAGGTAGGGATAAGAAACAAAAAGAGAGCAGAGAAATTGGGGAAGACAAGTGGAGAGTGGAGGTTAAGGTCACCCAGAGTGTGGATTTGAACTCAGGTCCTAGTAGTGCGGCACTGTAACCTGTGCTAGGCAGGATAACCTGTGCCTGGAGTCTCTGGCAGAGTGAACATGAGAGGAGCCTTTAGCTGGCTCAGGCCAAGGGCCCATCTAGTCCAGCATCCTGTTCTCACAGTGGCTGGCACCAGATGCCTGTGGGAAGCCTGTAAGCTGGATTTGAGCACAAGAGCATCTCTCCCCTTCTGGGTTTTCCAGTAATTGGTATTCAGAAGCGTTGCTGCCTCTGGCCCTTGGACCATTGTGGCTAGGAGCCATCCATCACCCTCTCCTCCATGAGTTTAGTCTGCCTATTGGGTGATCCAGAACTGTCCGCTGTAATGAACGGGAGTAATACTCTTGTGCTACTCCTGCTCATTTCAGCAAGGCTTACGCAAGAGGATGCCCCATTGCGGACTGAGTCCCACGTGCCTCTGATCTGCCCATCTCCCCCTCTGCCATCCATAGTAGTGCCTCACATCCACTGTCTGGGGCAGCTGCTTTCCCCTCCTCTGAAGGGAGGGTGGCTCTTAGGTTAACAGCTGAGCCCTTCTGTGAGGATCAGGGCTGTGACAGTTTGCACAAGATGCATCCTTCAGCTCTTGGAATCATAAAACGTTGGCAGGTACCCCAAGGCCATGCACTCTGACCTCTGCCAAGGATTATTTGTTTAATCTCGTTTGGATCACCTAGAGAGGGGTGGTTGCTGCTGCTTCATCTTAAAAAAGATCTGTGCTACTGTGTATTTAACAACTGTGTGAGAAAGGATGCATGCTTGTGTTTAGTTTTGTTTCTTTGAAAGAAAAATGCAGGTTGCATTGAGTCCTGCGGAAAGAGCTCAAATAAATTATGTGTGCCTGGCAGAAATGCCTTCAGTCTGTTGTCTCTTCCCTCCTCCCCACACGTCTATCCCATGGGTCACCCTCTCTGAGCACGTCAAAGGGCTTGTCCATAATTTTGCTTCACTCATATTTTGATCATATCGTGTGCCAATTAATCCCATCACTGCTCCCACCCAAGTCTGAGAGCTTTTCTCATTGTCCCGTGGCTTCGCCTTGCGAAAACGCAATCTTTGGGGCTGAATCGGATCTTATCAGTTGCGTAGAAAGCCTGAAGAGAGATCTGCTTAACCGAGCTTCAATTCAGCAGGTGGGCTTGAATTTTCGCAAGGTGCAATCGCAGAGGAACGAAAAAATGCTTTCGTACCTGGAAGAGTGAATCAAGATATGACACCATCAAAATATGGTTCAAGTGAAAATGTGGATGAGCCCCAAAAGTCTGGCTGCTGGATCAGACCAAGGTGGGTGCTCTTCCAGCACAGCATCCTCTTTCCAAGAGGGCCCCAATCAGATGCTTCAGCAGGAGCCAATCAGATGTCCACAAGCAGGACATGAAGACAACCGCCTGTCCGCACACTGTTGCTCCCTAGCAGCAACAGTGGTACATTGAAAGATACACTGCTCCTGGCCATGGAGGGTCCTTATAACTATTGTGGCAAACTGTCAGCGATAGGCACCACATCTTGTGGCAGTGAAGTTCTCCCTGTGACAATATGCATGCTGGTTGTAGCTTAATTCCGGCACATAATTCCTTTTCATGCTGTATGATAAATATGGCAGCCGTCCAGCAGAGTGTCTCTACGTGTGCTTCATTCTGGTACGGACAAAATTAAGGGGGGACTGGGGCCGCAGGAAACGGTCTCTCTCGTTTTGCAAATTCCCTCAAAATGGCATAACCCGTTTTTAAGAAGGGAGTCTGGTAAAGTGAACCACTTTCAGGTCCACCCTTTCCTTTCTACCTCTCCCCTTTTTCTGCATTTCTGTTCCCCCAATGGACCCCCTGTGTTTGGAGGGGTCCCCCTCCCCCTCCAAAGCTAACTAAGCAAGAGCAGCCAACCTTCTGCATCGGCCCACAATGCAATGGGAAGCCAGGGACAAAAAACCTGTTTCCATAGAGAAAAGGTGGAGCGAATGGGAGAGTTGGTTGCCAACCCAGTTAGGGAACAGAGAGAAATAGCCCAGTTTTCAAGCTGGTGACCTTCCCAGAATTTCACAGGGCAAAAAAATAATAAAGCACTTTTTTTAAGGAATGGGAACCTGCTGGGTGCTGTGTACAGAATACAGAATTGCTGCATCCTCTCTGGCTCAAAGTCCCTAATCCTTAAGACAGGGGTGGCCCGTCTCATTTTGCCACCTGAGACAAAATGGGGATTGCTACGGTCTTCTGCCACCCATTGCATTACCCCCACTTCTGTCGCCCCCAGGCCCCAGCTCTCACCAAACTCGACAGCAGCCAGGTCACTCCTCAAAGCATTGCCAAGCGACTCCTCTGCCTGGGATGAAGAAGATGAACAGCAAAACCGCACACCACAACCCCACCTTGGCGGCAGAAGTGCATAGCTGTCAACTTACAGATTTGAAAATAAGGGACCAGCACCCTCGAAAATAAGGGATCAGCAGCCAAAATAAGGGATCAACAATTACTTTGATAAAATACATATTTTGTTGCGTGCAAATGGCTTTAGATACCTATTAGGTCCATTAATTACCATATAGCATATATTCAACACACAAAAAACAGCAACAATTTGTTGTTGACAAAGCACAGCTGGACATAGAAAGGGCCCCATTACCTTCAGTAGCTTATTTAAGGGACACCATCAATAAGGGACAGCAGCGGGACATGGCCCTGGGATAAGGGACTGTCCCGCCAAATAAGGGACGCTTGACAGCTATGCAAGTGGCGGTGGGGCAGGGGCAGTTCTGCCACCTGAGGCCAGCACTCCATATCACCTTAGGGGCAGGCCAGCTCTGCCTTAAGGAGGAGCTTAAGAAGAGGTTGCTGGATCAGGCCACTGGCCCATCTAGCCCAGCCTCCTGTTCTCATAGTAGCCACCCAAATGCCCCAATGGGAAATCCACAAGAACCTTCTCCTCTTCTGTGGTTTTCAGCAACTGGAAGCTTCGCTGCCTCCAGGGTGTAGACAATGTCTGCCAAAGATGTGAGCAAAGTTTCCATTTGCCCTGGAGTGGGGATTCCACCCCCGGCATTGCTCTCCCCCCCCATCAACAGAACAAATCGCAAATGAAATTATTAGATATGCATGTACTGAATTGATCTGCCTTCTGCTTTTATCCGTTCTGAATTTGTCCGATGAAACTGACACGGTTGGTGGAAAGCCTTGCCAACTTCCTTGTTTGCTTCGTTTCCTTGAAAGGGACGCTGGAAATGGCGCACAGAGTAATTATAGTCCATTTTTTTAAAATGCCTTTGGGAGGAACTAACACAAAGCTGTTCCCCTGACTGTGGCCGTTTCACCAGAGACTGGAGAGAAGGGATAGTGAAAGGAGATGCTTATGGCCCACTATGCTGGAAGATCCAGGACAGACCACAGCTTTTCTCTATGCAGAACAAAGTTAAGCTATGGAACTCCCTGCCACAGGAAACAGGGGTGGCCACCAACTTTAAAAGAGGATTAAAGAGATTCACAGAAGAGAGGGCTATTGATGGCTACTAGCTCTGATTCCATAGTCAGAAGCAGTACAGTGGTACCTCGGGTTAAGTACTTACTGTAATTCGTTCTGGAGGTCTGTTCTTAACCGGAAACTGTTCTTAACCTGAAGCACCACTTTAGCTAATGGGGCCTCCTGCTGCTGCCGTGCTGCCGGAGCACGATTTCTGTTCTCATCCTAAAGCAAAGTTCTTAACCTGAGGTAATATTTCTGGGTTAACGGAGTCTGTAACCTGAAGTGTATGTAACCCGAGGTACCACTGTAAATGCTTCTCAAGACCAGTTGCTGGAGACCACAGGCGAGGAGAGAGATCTTTTGCTCAGGTCCTGTTTGCAGGTTCCCCACAGGCATCTCACTGGTTGGGCACTGTGAGAACAGGATGCTGGGACATTGGCCTGATCCAGCAACCTCTTCTTCGGTCCTTATGTACTTACTACCCGGGGCAGATAAGGTGAGTGAGCACCTTGCTTTGCAAAAGCTGGGTGTGTCTCCATGAGGTGATGGTAAAGGTAAAGCTTGATTGAAAGTACATGCGTACTTCATGCTCTGGAAACTTCCAGAGAGGATTATTGCAACATGCTCTACGCAGGGCTGCCCCTGAAGCATAGCTGTTAACTTTTCCCTTTTCTTGCGAGGAATCCTATTCGGAATAAGGGAATTTCCCTTTAAAAAAGGGAAACGTTGACAGCTATACCCTGAAAACAACTTGGAAACTTGAAATGGTCCAAAATGCAGTGGCCAGATGATTGGATGGGGTTCCATTAAGAAACTCATACTTTTAAAATAGCTTCACTGGTTCCCAGTTCATTTCTGGACCCAATTCAAGCTCACATTGGTGCTTAAAGCCCTAAAAGACTTGAGCTCCAAATACCCCAAAGACCGCTTCCTTCCCTACAGACCCTCTGAGACTGGCAGAGGGGGCCCTCTTGGTTGTTCCACCACCCTCAGAAATATGGGGCCCAGGACGCTGTCTTCTCTGTGGTGGCTCCAAAGTTGTGGAAGTCCATCTCCATGGAGTTGCACCTGGCTACTTCACTATACAGCTTTTAGCAAATGTTGAAGAGACACCTCTTTACTGTGACCTTTGATGTTGGAGATGTTTGTTTTCAGAGCCCACCCTGTTCCTGCAACTGCAATCTGTTTTAACTGTTCTGAATTTTGAATTTAAAATTGCTATGACCCACCTTGAGTCCTGTTGGTGAATAATCACAATAACTAATATTACTTTCAGCCAACATCTCGACGTTTCCCCTTCCACTCACACTTCAGGTGGGTTTTGTCCGTCTGGCTTTTCCTGTTATTGCTGAATGCGCAAAGTGGGCATTTATGCTCTCAAAAAATGTGCTGCATTGAATATTCTTTCTTCTCCCCCCCCCAAAAAAAAAAACGTTCTCAGGGTGGTTTGGGGGCAAGCTTGCATTCCTCCAAAGTCTTCATCTGAAACCTTTGTGGGATGTTGTGACAGCTACTTACCTTTAATCACACGAGCTGTCCAGTGGTTTTTGTTGTTTTTTAACTTCCAAAGGAGGGTTTTGAGAGCGTGAGGCCCTCTCAGATGCTTTCCACAATTCCTCAAAGGGTTTCAGAGCAAAATTACACGACTAGGGTCCTTCCAAGCCATGCCAGGAACTGTGGCTGACAAGGAAATTGCGGAGAGGGCTTTGCAACTGCTGCGAGTG